AATCTTGGTTGGCAGCTCATCAGTGTCTGTTGGAAAACAGAAAGAGAAAGTAATGATGCAGGTCTTAAATACAATGGGGAAACACATAAAGGAGAAAAAAGTTACGCACAGAGAGCAAAAGAAGGAAACTAAAACTGTGCAAAAGAAACGCAAATAGTAGATGTATCAAAACCAATTGATTTTATATTTTAGTTTTGTTTGTTGTGTGTGCAGTGGTGTGCTGTGTCACGATGACAAATAATTCACCTTCACCTGAGGAAAAAATTACAATTCATTGACGTGTAAGTAAGGGCTTTGGAAATAATATAGTCTTATGAATCCCATTTGTAGTTTGATTTGCATGTCTGTATGTGGATCACAGACTAATTAAACAGATGATAAAGACTAAATATTTTTTCTGATAGTGGCGGTAGTTGGTGTCTATCAGGGCCATGACAGTAGGGGGCGACCATGCCATCCAGGCAGTGGAGCCCAAAGGAGCCAAGTACCAGTTAACCAAATAGGAGAACAGATACGATAAAGCTGTTATAGATGTGCACTATGAGAGAAGTGAATGGAAGAGGAGAAAGTACAATGAAAGAAGTGATGATGAAATAGGAAAGTAGTGTGTTATCTAATTCAGTATGGTAAACCAGCCATACCTGGTTTTTGTTCCAAAGACACATTACTGTTGCACAAGCTCAGTGGTACAGTAGTGTTGTTACTGAGATGGTAGTGAAAGGTAAGCTAAATAATGCTCAAAAGATCAGTTCAAGTACTATGCAAGAATATGCAGTTTACTGTCAAACCCCAGTATGTGCATTTAACCCATTCACAATTATATACCAGTATTAACTACGTATTTGTTAAATACAAGCTAATCAAGTGATGTAACATTTCTTTAAACTTGATTTGTCCAGAACATGTACATCTTATTTTACTGGCCACTATTCATTTAAAATACTGAAAGTGTTTAATGTAGTGAACCAGTGTGTACTTTTTCTGTCTGCTTCCTGTCCTGTGTAAACACCTTGTTCAATTCTGATTTTAAGAGTTTACCTGGTAACAGAAGTGTCATCATCAACAGCTACAGTAGGAAGAGTTCTAATATGTTGGCTCTAACACTCGCCGTACTCGCCAGACTTGGGTAAGTCTTTGATTTATGCTCTAACGTGAAAAAGCATCCTTTTATACACCGTTATTTCCATGCTGTGTGAGCTGGTCTGGAGCTCTTCAGGCTACAGCTCCCTCTACAGGTAGACTACTAAATAGATATTTTAATAGGCTTCTCATGTTGTTACTGTTTATAAATATTTTCTGAGGTTTTTTTTACATGACTTTATATTTATTATGTTTTTGTTTTTGTTATGTTATTTCCCAGTGTTTATAATATGGTGTGACACTCAGGGACCTGTGACACTGATCAGTAGGGGTCACAGTTTACCCTATTTACTGTATTCAACTCCAAAGACACACTGTTGCCTGTTCTTGACTCGTGCAGCTTCAACTGTTTATATTTAAATTAGTTCAAGTTAGTCTGTCAGCAGAAAAACAAATTTTAAAAAAACTTACCTGCAAAGAGGACTTGCTGTGATGCGTTGTTCAAACTTGTGATATGTAATGGAATAACTCTATAAACAAAAAATAATAAAGTGTCCTCACTCTCACTGTGCTCAAAGGGAACTCTGTAACAGCTAATTAGTCTTACTTAGATACGACTGTCTAGCTGGTCAGTGAGGTAGAAACACAGAGATGTAAAATCGTCCTTTGGCCAGGATTTCTGTTTGTAAGTCTGGTTGTAATTGAGATATGGAAATTGATGTTGCAGTCCAAAAGATGTGATCCAGATATGAAAGTGAAAAACTCTGGCAGAGGTTTGTGGAGTATTTTCTTCAGCTTTGGAAAAGAAAGGAACCAGTTCCAAAACAAGAAACAATGAAGAATGAGAGCAGGAAAACTGAGGATGTCAATTGTTTTGTTTTTTTTACCAAATATTGATTATCTTGCGAAAACAATATAAAATAGTAATAGTGGCAATCCTAATGGAAGGTTGGATTTTTTTCTGTTTTGTTTTTGTTTGTTTTTTCCCATGTTGACCAGTGTCATATTTTAAAGGAGATAAAGATGCTACATGTTAGCCAAGAAGCAGTTAAAGGTTAACCCAGGAAAAACTGTAGTAAATAATTCAGGTAACCTAATGGTCGTGATAACATTAAATAATCAAAACCAGCTGTGGAATAAAATAAACATGCATCTACACCAAGTTTTTATTACATTCTGAGACGTTCAGGCTGTTTCACCTTGTTTCCCTGGAGAAGTATAACGTAGTGTTCTCTCTTCACCCATTTTCCAGGGATTAAGTGCAAATATCCTTGTATTCCACACTGTATCGTTCCAAACAGAGAAAAACTCTGGTTCCGACCAGTAAATAAATCATCCAACCTGGATGTCTGCACAAACACACCAGACTTTAACACAGCAGTTCTTTGTTTTTTGGTTTGTTTGTTTTTTTGTTTTGTTTTTTGTTTTTTGTTGTTGTTTGTTTTTCCACAACACCAAACAAACATCTTAGGTACATTGTGTTCGCAGAAACGTTTCTATTTTACATACCGTTGTACTTTATCACTAGCAGATGTAGGGTTTTATATGCACAACAGAAAACAGTAATTAGCCATGTTGATTTAAAATGTTCCACGTTGTTTCTGAAGGTCTCGTCTGGAGGCCAATTCTGCCTGGTGCTTGGGCATAATTAAGATGTACCACAAATGTACCAAACGTGCTTTTCTTGTGGAGGCTCACTTTTGTCAGAATATAACCGACATTTAATTTTTAAAAAACACCACCGTCTCCTCCCTCTCGTTGGGAGTTTTGTTGCGAAACAGCGCCCCTCTTAATGTCCCGTGGTGAAAGAGCATTGAAAGCGTGGTACTGCACTCTCCTGTCGAGTTGGCTTTTCCTACGCCACGACACTGCTTTCATTAAACAGTTTTTGGAGAAGTTAGCCGTGATAATTATTCGGTTAAAACTTAATTCTCATTTTTTCTTGAATTATGGCACTGACTTGTAGAACCTGGGCTAAAATGCATGAATGTAGAAACACAGCTAAATTCTCCAATGTTCTGTAACTAATGCAGCCAAGCTCACATCACAGAATCTAATCATTTGATTTTCTTTAGCCACCATTTGTCTTAGGGAGCAAGCTTTGGATTGTTCCTTGTTTTTGTTGTATTTCTTTAAACAACAAAGAGAGTAAGGAATGTGTGTTGTGCATGAACAGTCACTTAATGAAGTCTCTGTCTTTGTGTCTGGAGCAGTGTGTGTCAGTCTGTTGTTTTGTTTGTTTGTGTGTGTGTCTGTTCCTGAACCAGACAATTATGCTCTCATTCAAAGTGTAAATGTCACGCTGCATTTGTTTATCACTGCAGTGAGTTTGCCAGTCCCACTGTTATGTCTGTGCAGGCAAATGCTGACTCTTTGGATCGAAAATTGGCCGCTCGCTGGAATCTGGAGATTGTGAAGTTAATGTATTCCAGTCGCTGGGATTTTGAGACAGATAATAATTGTGGTCGGTGTTTTTGTGTCTAAGTACTTTTCCAAAGGATTTGACTAAGAAGGTCATAAGAACGCTATTGCTTTAAACCATCAGTGTGAGCAGCTTGATGCTGGTCTGTGAAATAGTTTTGGTCATGCATTATTTTTAAATGAAGTTTGTAGTAGCATATGTGAGGTCTTCAGTTGATTTTCCCTTATCTGTGCTACAGAACCAGATTACATCTTTTTTCATACGCTTCACTGATTAAACAGACCAGGAGAACATTACTTTATTGCCCAACATCTGGTTTACTAACATCTGGTTTACCAGCAGGTCAAACACCATGTGGTTAACTAATAGTGTAAGTGATGCCACCTGTGACTTTGGCAGAGAAAAAGTAACACATTAGTTTAATGCTGCTCCTCTCGTTTGGAAACACTACAACTACATCTTACCATTTGGAACATTTAATACACACACACACGTATGTATGTATATGTATATATATATATATATGTATATATATATAATATATACACACACACACACATATATATTATGTATATATATTCGTGTTTGTTTTTGTTGTTGTTGTTTTTTTACCAGATCGAGCAACATTGAAATTGCATTACTGCCACTGACTGCATTTTTTTCTTCTTCTACAAATCAGTAAAAAAAAAAACAACTGAAAACCAATGTTTATCTTCTGTCCAGATTTACTGTCAGTTGTTTGTGCATTATCAATAATAATAAATACAAATATAAAAAATATCAGGATAAAGTGATGTCTGAACTGTAACTGATGGCTTTAGGGTTAAATAACAACAACTGTATAAACAACTAACAACTGCACGTAACTTTGTTTACGTTGCCGTAGTGCAGTGATGGGCTCTGTCAATTACCTGTCCCACCACTGGGTGGCGCAAAATGCATTATGAAAAAAAAACCCATAATTATTATCCTGGCATTTGTTCAAAGCACATGTTATATAATGATTTTTTTGTTTGTTTGCAGTCCAAATAAAGGACACTTTCACTGACAAGATACGGCTTGATTTTGCAGCCCAAATGTTCTGCTCCATCTGCCTAATGTGGCTGCAAGGATTTGACAGAAAAGCACACAGCTGTTCTGTAGTGGTGCAGTCAGAAACACATCTAGTCTAGTGATTGGCTGAAAACAACAAATACATTTCTGAAATGTCTCACTGGTAAATTGATTAAAAATAAACATCTAAAATTATCTAATGTGTTGAAATAGTTTTCACATTTTTTGTACCTTGTGCATGAAATGAAAACCATTATGGCTGCAGAAAAAATAAAAACGCAAAACAAATGGATAATGCACAAACATAAAACATTTTCATGCTTACAGTTGATGGTGGAAAACACAGTGTTCGACAGGTTCTGGGTGGTCTGTGCACGCAGACAATGCAACTATCCTCCTTATTTGGAGGCTGAGACGCCTGAGCTATAAAAACTCCCACTCTGAGTCTGCACCATCACTCTGAGTCTGGAGGGGCAAGCTGAAGAAATCCAGGATGAAGCTTTTTTTCATGGCTGCCTTTGCACTCTTTGTGCTCTCTACTTTTGACCAGGCTGACTCCTCAGCCTATGACAAAATAGTTGCCCACAGTCGCATCAGGGCACGAAAAGAGGGGTGAGTTTGCACATTTTTTATTATAAAAAAATTATTACTCTCTGATTATAACATTTGCATAAAGCAGACCTGACTGAAGTATTTGACCAAAAATGTACAGTATATTAATGCATATTAATTCACCATTTACACTGATGTTATTTGTTTTTTAAAAGGATTTATGAATTGAATAATTGCTTAGAAGTTCATCTTCTTCCTCATGTGCAGTCAAATTATTATAATTAATTCAAATAGTTTGATAATTCATATTAAGCAGGTGCAAATGCCATCATTATAACCACAGTTGCTGTAGCTGCTAAATAATTATTCACGTTTTGCAGAACATTTCTCAGCATTTCGATTTTGACTTGAGTTGAGCTACATGTAATCAAACCAGTACCTTTTAAACTGTTTTACATCTTCATCTTTTCAAATCCCTCCAGACCAAACGTCTGCGCTCTCCAGCAAGTCATGGGGACCAAGAAGAAGTACTTCAGCACTTGTCGTAATTGGTACCAAGGGTCCATCTGTGGAAAGAAAGCGTAAGTGCTGTTTAATATTTCCAACAGGTCACGCTCTTTCTCTCTCCCTCTTTTTTTTTTTCTTGACTCCTTAATATCAAGTCCAACAGCTGAAATGTTTGGGACGAGCTTCAGAGACTGCTATTTATTTACCCTTTCCCCTTAAAGGTTGGAAAACGAGATCTTTCCAAACAGACAGACATCTGCTATTGTACTCACGCTGTGGCGTGAAATGAAAAGCACATTTATACACACTATTTTAGAGTCAGTGAATTGAATACTGTCCTTTTGGATGTATGAAAGAGTCACTCGGTTATTTCTCAGTGGGGGGAGTGTGTCTCACCTCTGAGGTCCCTGTGTTGAAGCGCTAAGTGCTGTGTGTGAAAAAATGTTCTATCAATTTTTTCTCATGACTTTTTTTTAAAACAACTTTACATAAAATATTCAATGACTTCAGTTCATATTTATTGCCTAAACTCAATGTCAGATTCAGTGACTTATGACCTGAGAATCAAATGTTTCTGATGTAATTTCTAACACATTTACAGCATACGAGTAGAATGTTACTTTATTTTTGCTGCTTAACTTTACCTATTGTGTTGAAGGAACCGAAGGGTTAAAGCAGGCTGAGATACTGGCCCAAAGGGTTAAAGCAGGCTGAGATACTGGCAAAAAAGTTAAAAATAGCAAGTAGCATACATAACATTTTAGACAAAAAAAAGTATAGCTGTTAAACCTAAAATGAGTTAGCAATTGTGAGCAAAACATGAAGGAGCTATAATTCAAACGAGTTAAGTAGGAATTCCAATACGACAGATGCAGAAATGAGAAATGAATTAGCACAGAGCTCAGCCAAAAGCTGAATTCAGTGAAATAATTTGCTGATTGCTACACAATGATGTGCTAATGCAAAGTCTCTGGATAAAGAATCTAAATGAAAGACAGTGAAGGTTACGTCATTCGCAGAGAGAACGTCGGCTGCAGCAAATAATTAAAAAATAATTCAGGGAATCTGAAGTCAATTAAACATAAAAAAGAGCACATAATTGGTAGGTCTCGTAATGAACCAGCAATTAGTGTTCTGCAGCCATTTTTACTAACTTACATATTTTAATTAATTTTATGCAGTGTTTGAACGACTGTAATAGGATTTCTTATAAGGAACCTTTAGCAACAATTTAGCTTTTAAATTGAAAGTTTTACATTTAAAACTTTCAAATTCACCCTCCATCATCTCTTACATTTTTAAAACAGCAGGGGGCTTCACTATTTCTGGAACCAAGAGCTACTTTAAGGGTACTAAGTAATACAAAGAGCTACTTCTTTGATACGCACTTCCTAAATTATGTAGTAATAATAGAACATACAGTAGCAGGCACTGTTTAATCCTCTTGTTGACTAGTTGTTGTTTTTTTTAGAACTAACTCCTCAGGCATCTTTGATAGTCCATGAGTTTAACAAATACGCAGATTTATCCTTAGACTTGAGACAAAACAAGATTTTTAGTTCGACAAATGAGACGAGAGCATTGACCCTGTCTCCAGAAAAACCAAAGTACCAATTAATGGAGGGTTGAAATGGAACGTAGCCTCAAACACAACATATTAAATGGGAAAAACCTATCTAGACTCTTAGTGGTACATTTGATTTGCAGAAACGCTGACAGGGCAAATCTTTCCTCCTTCATGGGCAGCCACAGTCCCATTCGTGTGGGAAGGAAGGCAGTAACTGGGTTTTGCTGATGCTGCCCCAGCAGGCCTCATGTGATCTCATCTCAACTCTGCTCCAACTCTGTTCCACTCTGACTCTAACACAGCAGTTGGAGAGTTGAACCAAACAGTGAGAGATAAAACCACAGAGGACCGAGTCATTTGTGTTATTTGTACGAACACCGCATCCATTCATTCTCGACTCTGTTCATCGTATTTCCTGTGAGGGGAGCTGGAGTCAATCCCAGCTGACAGTGAGCAAGATGTTGGTTGTAGAACCAAGAAACGCAAAGAACCGCTTTCGACACTTAAGCAAGAGTAAATCGATTCACTTTGCTTTCTCAAGTCTGCCAACATTATTTCCGTGACCCCTACTTTGAGAACCATTGATACGAAAGGGGCCTTTCTGATCAGCATATTATTTGCAAGTGTTGACACACTGTGAATCCTCACTGAGTGCCGGATGTTTTGAGGTAATATTTTGACAGTTTAGAAGGTACAGAAGGATAAATTGGTTTTGCATGGGTGTGACCTTTAGCCCTTTTGGCAACATTCTAATGCCTTAGTGATGAACACAGCCTCTGGGACTTAAGACAACTTCAGGCTGTCACCCAGTTTCCATGCTACTGCTGCTGCATCAAAAGTGCTGCCTCAGACATTATCATACAAACAGGAAGTCATACATCAATTAACTGCGGAAATGCTGCTCAGTTCTCTGGACTCGGTCTCCTCCAAGACAATGAAGTGTGTTCTTCTGTCAATTGTTTCTGCTTGCCATGAGGGGAAAAAAAAAAACAAAAAACAACAGATGTTTGATTCTACGCATCTTTGATTCCAAAGGTCAGCCTGGATGTCATCGACAGTAGGTTTAAAAGCCTGTGATGACAAGGGCCGTGCATCTGTAACCATGGAATAACTGTGAACCCACTATTGATGCAGAGGCTTATGTTGAAACTGACATAATCTCAGACTTTCTTTTTTTTTACTGAGGATCTCTAACTAATACGTGCAAACAGGTGGAAATAGATATAGTTGAAGCGTGTGTAATGATATGTTGAGAATCCTTTAATGTTCAAGTTCAACTGTTCTGCATTTCACCCTATAGAATTTTTTTAATGTATTTGGTTTAGTTCATACTAATTTCAAGTCATATATAATGTTATAGGTTTTATAGTTTTTTTTCTTAGACATTTTTGCACATGTTTACCCTGTATTTGTGACCTCCTTAAGGTGGAATTGTACTAATACAAGTTGCCGTTGTCTCCAGTGTTGGCCAGCTGCAGTTCACTGAAGTGACGATCTAAGTCTCTACCACTAAAAAGTACAGTAATTTACTTCCCAGAAACCTACACATGCGCATGTGGTTTGGTTTATCACAGTGTTCTTTATGGGTTTTATTGCTCCACTGTACATACCCTTCAGTTATTTAAAGAGAAACAAAGATATCCAACAGTCTTCTGCCAGCAGATGGAAACAGCGCTATGGTTCCAACATGTTCCAACATGCTGACAACAGCAGCTTAGACATGTTTGTACCTGGCAACCTCACTTTGGATTACAGTGCTTCCCTTCAGCTTCAGTGTCAGTCTAAGAGGGGAGACGGGAGGACACAAACATTTTTCTGAATCAAAAACAATAAAAATAATTCCATTGCATTTATAAATGAACACTTTCAAAAGAATCGACTCAGTCGTTTCCATGAGCTTCACAACACAATGTTCCTTGTTTTAACCCAAACGTCTTGAAACTTTACTTATACTGCAATTTTCAATGCCAGGGTCTTAATTCATGTGAGGTTAACCAAGTGCCAAGTCGAGTCCAAGCTTATTGTTGAGATTCAAGGAGGAGGTCTCTGCAGCGTAGACCTACTACTGTAATGGCAGCATAATCCTTTAGGCAGCTTTTCCATTAGCTTTTTCTTGGCCTGAAGCTGACTCACATGGGTCGTCTGAGTAACGGCACTGATAATGGGTAACATCTGGAGACCCCGGATGCATGGAGACCAAGGCAAACTTATGATTCAGCACAAGACAGAGCAGCCGTAAAACCACCGTCTATATTTTACCTTGATGTGATCCCCACTTGATTTTGCTCTTTTTCTTCGTGCAGGTCGGTCCTGTATGAGTGCTGCCCAGGTTACATGAAGCTGGAGGGCATGCGAGGTTGCCCCGCAGGTAAAGTGTGCCGCAGATGTTACAGTGATGAATAAAGGTTAGAAGAGGACAAATCCACCAAGTGTAAAGCAGCTGTGTGTTGTTATTTTAACTCAGACCAAAAAGAAAGAGGAAAAAAAAGAAAGAAAAGGATGCCATAGCATACTGTCAGCACATGTAGAGTCTGTCTTTTCATGCCCCGAGTGTTTCCACTTTGTGTAACCAAAAAGACTGTCCGGGTGACTAATGGTCTATACCTGCAGTTAATAATATACACAGTAAATATTTACTGATCTTAGCATATGTTGACATATTTCCTTGAATTTAGAAGTTTTATACAATTTTACCTCTTATACAAAATCAAAATAATTTCATAAATTCTTTGTAGAAAAACTAATTTGACCATGCACAACATAGTGCATGGTAATGCTCTATGCCAAGGGCTTTAACATGGGAAGTTGTGAAATAATTGGTTGATAACCCAATTTATATTTGGTTCAGAACAGCCTTGAGTCAAACGCCTCCAAACCTCAAATGTAAATTCTCCTCTTAGTGGCTCCGATCGACAACGTGTATGCCACCCTGGGCCTGGTGAAAGCCATTTCAACTCAGAAGTATGCTGATGTTTCTAAGCTGAGGCCTGAGATAGAAGGATCTGGATCTTTCACCTTCTTTGCACCAAGCAACGAAGCCTGGGACAATTTGGACGAGGTGAGTCTTTAACAAAACACAAGCTGGAAACATCTGTCTTTCTGTCTCATCCACTTGTTGACAGTTCATTTTTTCTTCTTACAGTTAGTGAAGAGTGCACTGGTCAGTAATGTCAACGTCGAACTGTACAACGCCCTGCATTACCACATGGTCAACAAACGCCTGCTGACCAAAGATTTAAGGAATGGACTGACGGTCACCTCCATGTACAACGACCTTGGTCTCCAAATTAACCACTATCCCAACGGGGTAGGTCTGAGTACCTTTAAAAACCGTTGTCCAAGCACGGACGGACAATTAGAAATGATTCATAGATAATGGCAACAGAGTTCACACCTTACTTTCAACATCTACTTTTATAGATGTTTTATTTCTATATAGTTATTTACAAATGGATAAAAAATAAAAGTTGACAAAAAAAAAATTCTGCTAAGTCCAACTCTACAGCATTCAGAGCTGCATACGTGTCAAGTCAGTTTGGTGGATGCAGACAGCTGTCTGGATCTGTTACAAACTGATATATTTGACCTGATGAGAAGAGTGTGTCATGTACAGGTGGTGACAGTCAACTGTGCCAGAATCATCTATGGCAACCAGGTGGCAACCAATGGTGTGGTCCACGTCATCGACCGTGTGATCAGTTCTGTTGGAAACACCATCCAGGATGTCATTGAGGTCACCGATGAGCTGTCAACTCTGAGTGTGAGTACACAACGATAACAAAAACACCACATCGGAGTCGCTGATGTGAACAAACACAGGAGAGTGCATTGCAGCAGAGCAAAGAAAACAAATCTCTGGTTTCCTGCATTGCTTCATTCGACCAAGATAAACGTGCAGTACTCTCTCATCGACAGTAATGACCCCAATTACCACAGACTGAGACTTAGATTTGCAGGAACACAAAGAGAACACATGGAGACTTTTCTTCATGTGATTTGAAGTCTAAAGTCGATTTTCCAGCGGTTTATCAAGTCTACTTTCTGCAACTGTTTCAGCGGGAGGCTGTTCTAGTTGACTAAAAATTATTTTGCTAATGAATTCAACATCTAGGAAGTGGCTCACACTGCCGGGCTCCTGGAGAAGCTGGGTCAGCCAGGGCATTACACTGTCTTTGCCCCCACCAACGATGCCTTTGAGAAGCTTGGCGTCGACGTCCTGGAGAGAATTCAGAGCGAAGACAAGGCCATCAAAGGTAAAGCAGACTTCACGGTCCCTTGCAGTTTGTCAGAGCCGAATTAAGCCGTTTAGGTTTTCCTATATTAACTGTAGCAGCCATTTATATTGAATAATGGTGGTATAGAAAAAGTGAGTCACTTCCTGAACACCACTCACCCTTGAGGTCTTTTTCTCCAGTGTGGAACCACAAAATGTTATGGAACCTTTTTGGCAAGCTATGAATAATAAATTTATACTGTATTAAATAAAATAAAACTAGTGCAGGCAGTAAAAATATTTGAATATTTGGGAAGTAGAGGATGACTCAACTATCTGACTTGTAGGTTAAGGACAGGTTATGTTAAAAAAATATGATATTAGCTTCTATTCATGCCAAAACATGCTAGTGTTCCTTCCTTTTTTCAGTCCATTTCTTTGGAAAACACAAAGCAGTTCACAGACGGAATGTAATATTATTGTGTTAGGTCCTCTAGGAGGAAATTGGAAGAAGAAGCAAGAAGCAAGCGCCAACACCAGACAGGAAAGTTAAGATAGGTAACCGTGTGTAGGTCGTAGGTCAACTGGTCCAGCTCTGACAAGTTGTAACTCGGATCAAGGAGAGTTTTCCACTTCTCAGATTTATTACATGAAAAGATAAGGAGATTTGAACCCGAGACTCTATTATCATGTTAAATTTCCATGTTAAATATTCAAGACCAATGATCTCATATTTTATTTAACACAATACACACAAAAAACCAAAAAAAAAAAAACAAAGATGTTTTTCAAAAATAAAGTGTATTTCAACACACTACTCACAATGGTAAGGCATGAACACTGAAAGACAGAAAACAGCTGCTTCGTTGGACAAGCTGCGCACTCTGGCCCAAACACAAATATTCTTTTTATTAGCCCACAGCTTCGCATATAATATGAGCTCAGATTATTTAACAGAGCTGTGAAGAAAACACACATCTTCTCACTCGTGGACCCAAGGGATCCAAGGTTCTGCAGGCTCCCAAGGTATTTTAGTTTTTACTGTACGTTAACACAGGAAACAACATTAAACGAGCAGTGCACTCATGGTCATTCATATACAGGCATCAAAATCTTTTTTTGATTATTATTATTCTTTTTTTAAGCTCTCATGAACTTCCACGTTCTGGACTCGGTCCAGTGCTCTGAGGCTATCACGGCAGGCAGCTCTTACGAGACCCTGGAAGGCAACAACATCGAGATTGGCTGTGATGGAGATAGCTTGACTGTCAACGGCGTTAAGATGGTGCTGAAGAAGGACATCGTCACCAGCAATGGAGTCATCCACCTGATTGACCAAGTGCTTATGCCAGACTCAGGTTAGAGTCCCTTCTTAAGTTAAACTGTAATAATACCGAAAACAGAAACAACTGGGTTAGGGGTAGGTTTAATTTGTTATTAACTTTTATGACTAATAAAAAACAACATTAATTTAATTTATTAGAAACAGTTCCAGCCCACCAGAGAGGTACTAGAACAGGTACTAATCCTGAATTATGATGAACAGGTTTTAAAGTACCTTCTTTAGATACAAAGTGACTGACCTTGTTAATCAGGTATCGTGGATTATCGTGCTACAGATATTATCTAGAGAACATGGTTCACATTGCCATTGGAATTTGTAGTTAACAGATCACAGATAATACGTCTTTGCATGACTTGTTAAAGTGCTGAATTACCCTTTGGGGTCAATTTCCCACACCGTGAATCGGAACGGTTTGCACTCGGGTTTCATGTGGTCTCCATACAGTATGAGTAAGAAGCAACTGGTAGCCATTAGTGCCTCACATATCGTGTTAGTATTGTACTTTGCTCGCTCTAATGAACACTCAAAGCACTAATAGCATTATGGTGGTCTAACCAAACCAGGAGATGAACTAAGTTGAAATAAATGTGCTCCACCTACAACGGCCCTCCACAGTCAAACTTCATGCCTCCTCTGTAGATACTTGTCATACTTTGGTTGGTGATTTTTAAAAGACGTTCTCCTGTGTCCTTTAAGCTAAGCAGGTGTTGGAGCTGGTGGGAAGTCAGCAGTCAACCTTTGGTGACATGGTGTCCGAGCTGGGTATTGCTTCTGAAATGAGATCGGACGCCGAATACACTTTGTTGGCTCCCCTCAACGCTGCCTTTACTGGTGAGTGACTTGTTGCTTTGTACTTCACGTGCACAGCCAGCGTCTCCACACACACCCATGGTCTGGAACAAATGATGAACGTACACTTTATTGCTCCTCGCCAACAGACATGCACATACATACAGCCATGTAGGTACGTGGTATGGAATGCACCTGACAGCAGCATCTGGTTATTACAACCTTGCACTAAAACTGTAAAATGTTCCATGTACAGTAATCCATAAATCTGAAGACACTGGAGGTCATTGCATGTGGTCCATTTGGAGAACTGCACAATAACTCATTGGTGTTTGTTCACAGGTGTTGCACAACAGCAATAATGTTATATATGATTTATTTGGTTGACTACTCAGATGAGATGATGGCATTGGATCAGAGGATGTTCAGGATCATCCTGGAGAATCACATCCTGAAGAGTAAGTTCACCCTGGGACAGCTGTACAACGGCCAGCGACTGGAGACAATTGGAGGAAAATTCATGCGCGTCTTCATCTATCGCACAGTCAGTTTACCTGTTTTATGGTTATTCCTTGAAGCTGAGTCGAGGATTCAATATCTCAATCTTACTTTGTGGCTTGTTTCTGCAGGCTGTGTGCATCGAGAACTCTTGTTTGATCAGAGGCAGTAAAGAGGGCAGCAACGGGGCCCTTCATCTGATGAAGACCTTCATGACACCAGCTGAAAAATCGGTGTTTGAGATTCTGACGGAAAACGGAGGTTATAAGTAAGTGATGTTTGTGAAAAAAATGGTAATAAATTGCAACCCAATACTCTGACCACTTCTCTCTGTAACTTTTTACGAGGAGGGAATGTAAAAGTGCTGCTGCAGCGGTATGTTAACCCTCAGTGGTTTTAATAATAAAAGCAATCTTACAGCTTTCTTCACTGTACTGCAGGATCTTTTTGTCTCTGATGGAAGCTGCTGGTTTGACTGACCTCCTGAGACAGGAAGGAGACTTTACTCTGTTTGCTCCCAGCGATAAGGCCTTCGCCAGTCTGAGCAGCAGAGATATTTCCCTGTTGAAGAGTACGTCTCCCACAGAACCCTTTTCTTTTCATCGGTTAAAGGCCGTTCTATAAAAAAAAGTATAAAATAACCCTACAAGCTAATTCAGTTCAAACACAGGGTTTTTCCAAAGTACACATTAAATTGGTTCATTACTGAACTTTGCATGCTATACTTCAGGTTAGCAAACATTAGCATCGTTAGCATACTCAAAGAACTCACAGTAGTATTATCTTCTCTCTATACCATATTATACCATACTAATAAACAGTGTCAAATCCTACTTGGTAAAACAATTCTTCCGTACTCTTCCATCTATGTTTTCAGGTGACATTAATGCCCTCAGGACCATCCTTCTCTATCACATCAATAACGGCGTCTTCATTGGTGGTGGTCTGGAGAGTGGAGTGACCAATATGCTCAGGTCTTTGCAAGGCAGTAACCTCAGAGTGATGTATGTAAGTATTGAAGGCAGCAGCAGGCAAACCAAAAAGGCAAAGCTACGTAAACTGCTCATCCCAAGGCAGAGGAGCATCGGGCTTTTCCTAATGGATTTTCCATTCGCCGATAACGTGGATCCAAGATGCTCCCCCCACCCCCTCACCTCTAGACAAAAATACACTTTGACAAGAACACAAAGATTTGCCAAACCCATCTACACTGTGAACAGTTTTGCGACTTCCACAGATCAATGTGTATCTATCAAATTAATTAAGACTTGAAATAAATACTTTATACAAATATTAGTATAAAAATCAAATCTCATGGGAAACGAGATGACGATGACGATGCAGAAAAAAAAATCTCTTGCGACCCAAGAGAGGGTCACGACCCAGTCTTTGGGAAACAATGAGATAAACCTTAGGTCAACATTGACCTTAAACAACTTTAATAACTTTAAATCAAAGCTCTTTCTTTTTTCACTTTGACTTTTTTACAGCTGTTGCAGGTCTCAGACAGTCTGGGAAATAACCTGCCTCTGGCTGTAGGAACAATAACATTATGCTTGTAGCAGACTGAAGAACAGACATTAACCTCCTCAGTGGGGGTTATTTTCAAATGTTATCATAACATCAATAATAATAATTATTAACTGGTAAACTCTCCTTCTTCTTCACCGAGGTCATAAAATGATAAAGACTGAAGCAGTAAATAACGTCAGCTCATTAGAGTTCGTACAAACTCACATTTTCTGCAGGTTTATTCAGGTCCCTCATTTTGTGGTTTGCTCGTCTGTAATTATTCGACTGTCGCCCGTAGGCAAACAACACCATTCAAGTAAATACTGTCCAAGTCCCTGAGGCGGACATCATGGCCACAAATGGAGTCATTCACAAGGTCGACCAGGTCTTGTATCCTGCAGGTAAAAAGATCCATTAAGTTTAATATCCTATGGAACTGGAAGACCTGAGTGTGGTTGACACTCTGCTCTCTTTCCAGACATCCCTGTCGGAAGCCAGGAACTTCTCAACATTTTTAGGAAGCTCATGAGTTACATGCAAATCAAGGTGTTGTGTAAAAAAAAATTAAATAAAAAAATAGATGTACATTTTACTTTACAATTTATTGTCGTAAAACCTAGCTTTTACACTTGGCTGTGTGAGTGTTTCATATGATCCAATGAATGCAAGTCATTAAACTAAATGGGTTTGAAATGTTCTTTCTTGCAGTACATATCTGGATTCAGATATCAGGAAATTCCTCTGACATTCATGAGTAAGTGTTTGTAATTCTTCTTTTTTTTAACCATTCATCCATCCATCCATCCATCCATCCATCCATTCATTCATTCATCGTCACCCATGGCTGTGTTTAATGGCTTTATATCTCATTATCATCATCAGAGAGGATCATCACTCGCGTCATCGAGGAAGGTACAGTAATGATGATAAAGTCATCATCAACATGTGATTCCTAATCAGTAAAACTCATCAGGTTCTATTCAGTTAGTGGAAGTTTTGTAAGTATAACCTTATAATATAATGTAAAGATAAGTTCCACATATATGTAAATTTAGATTTATTTTTCGTAGCCACAAACGAACCCAAATACTTTTCAAATTTTTTTTCACTAAGTCTTATCTATATTTTAACAGAAACCCTCTCAACAGGGTTTTCTGGAATAAATATACATGTTATAATGAAAGTAGACAACACAGATCATTCAGATAAATCTAAAGAAGAAGAAAAGTCAACTCTGTTTGATTATGAATCACATTCCTAACATGGCAACCTTTCTGATCCAGTGAAAGGTCCATTTGTGTCCCACATACAAATGGAAGATTCTCTGCATCGAGGGGCAATGCTGTGCTCGAGGCACGGTCACTATGACTGAAGATACCTCCCCTCTTTATTTTTTTACAGTTCCTCAGGTGACCAAACTGACCAGGGTCATTCCAGCAGAGCCCTCCGTCACCAAAGTCACCAGGGTCATTGAAGGGCAACCCTCAGTTACCAAGGTTACCAGAGTTATTGAAAGTCAGCCCAGTGTCAGCAAGGTCACCAGAGTTATTGAAACTCAGCCCAGTGTCAGCAAGGTCACCAGGGTCATCTCAGGTGAATACATTTGTCCTCAAATCAACAGTTTTCATTGTCATTTACGTTTTATTGGACCGAGTGTCTTCTGCTGTTTACAGGTCCTCAGTACTCAGTCAGCAGTGGCACAACCAACATCGCCATCGAAGGTCAGTGAAAGAGAGGAACATCATCAAAACTATTTTAAACAGTATAGTTTAAACAGTATTTGTTTTAACTGAGAAATGGTACTCCACATATGGCTAACTTTTAACTAATTGTTACCGTAATAGCTCATGGCTAATTAGCCATAAGATAATTTCACATAGTGACCTACCGTATGTTTTTTACTAGTGTTTTTTAAGCATGCTTTACATTTAGAGATTTTGAAGTTTTATGGTTACAAAAGCTCCATAACAATTGTTTTAATCCCAGATTTTAATCATTATGCAAGTATTTTCTTGCATTTACCTTTATTACCAATTACTAGAGGGTTTATGCACTTAATAATCTTGGCACTGCACACAGCAGTTCACTCTTGAAAAACCTGTAACCACAGAACATAAAAAACAAATATCTGGCTTTGGTAATCGGACCAGGCAGTTTAAACAACCTCTCACGGTCGACTTTAAAAATGTTTTTTATTTCCTGTCAGGAACTGATTTCTCAGATATCACATCCTTTGATGGGGCCTCTCATCTGGACACCGAAAGGTTGACCAAACTTGCCAAAGGTGAGTCTGATTGGTCGGGACGTCCCGTCCAATAACTAGAGATTACACTGTGACTTACGCGTTTGTTTGATTTTATAGAGAGTGGCACAAGAAGGACTGGCGGTCGAAAAGTTCTAGGTAAAGGGGGTAGGGAAATCCTGCATTTGTCATAAATGCAGTGTAGCATGAAAGCTAGGGAAGGCAATACACTCACGCCCGCTGCTGTGTTTATGTGGCGCAGGGCCCTTTCTCCGTCTAACTTCTGTCAGATGAAACAGTCGTGTCCTCGCTGTGTCTGGAGGGTCGCTGAATCGTTGAAGCAGATGGTTGTTTTGCATTAGATGTGACTCTAACGTCATGTGTGCATGAAGCTATGCTACTTGTCTGAACTGCTACAGCTCACCGTCATATGTGTGTCCATACCTACATCATGTACTTAACCAGCATTTGTATGAGTGGGAGTGATGTGCAACAAAAATGGATTTGTTTAGCAGTTTGTAGCTTTATTTTCGTCAAAGATTAGTTAAGGATGACAAACAGGAAGCTGGTTTAACTGCGTTTCTCTGTGTGTTCCATTTGTCTAAAGAGGTGACAGTTAATATAAACCAGGGCTAAATCAACAAGCTATCAGTGTATACAAATTGGTGATTTTTTTT